ACAACTCGACAACGCGTTCAAACTTAACCAGAATCTGCACCGCCAGGCGAGCAGCTTACCAAGGTTTGCCTTATCTGCTGCATATAGCAGGGCGGATAAGCGAAGGCATGCTACTGCTGGCGCCTCCCTTCCTTCTTTTCCACCTGTTTCTCTTACTCTCCACCCAGTCCCCATTACTAGCCATACTTTTATAATTCCCAGTTTAACTGGCAGCAACCTCAATGTCACCGGTTTCATACCATCTGCAGCTATGTTCCCGCACTACCCACTGGACACAAATTGTCAACAACTACTTAGAAGGTCACACTGCCCCTTTTCCATGTCGGCGTTCAGCGTTCGCACCCTAAGAGGAATAGGTCAAAAGACTGCACTCGCACGCATGTTAGACATGCTAGGTATTGAGGTGAGTTGTGTGTCTGAAGTAGGATCAATGACGCTCACGGGGTTGTCGAATTAACTGCAACTGCTATTGGTTGCGCTTATCCGAAGACGCTGATGTGGCAATCATTGGTCAAGCTGGGGTGGGCATCGTTCTCAGCTCCAAGGCTGAGTCATATTTGGTTGAGTGAATTCTGATGAACAGCCGTTCGTGCGCAGTCCGTTTGACGATATCAGGTAAGGTAAATTCACGTAATATCACTAGACGCTGTTTGTTAATGGTTTGCAGTTACGCCCCCACCGATTACAGCTATGATACGGCGAAGTACGCTGTCTACCATGAAGTGAACACGCAACAACGCAGTGTTACCAGTTCAGCCGTCGATATTGTTGTTGCAGTGAATGTGCATTCGCAGGTAGGGCATCTGGGTTCTTCAGAAACTCTGCAAGGTGTTAAGTATGGAATTAACTTGGAACGGACGGACAAGGATGTGTGTCTGTTACGGGCGTGTGCGGAGCACCAGCTGCTTATTAGTAACACCGCTTTCAGACACGGTAGGCACCGAAATTTCACTTGGTGTCCTCCTGTAGCTGACCAGTCATGGACCCAAATAGATCAAGGTGGTATAAGTTACAGGTGGTGTGGTTCCATCCTAGATTACGGCTCTTCCTGGGTTATTTGCATCGACTCTGCTCATGCTTTGCTACGCTGTCGCTTTTCCACGACCTTTACCGAGAAGCGTACGAAGCGCCTCCTTCGATTTGCAACCGATAATTTACCTCAGTCCTCTGTCAGCCAAGCCTAAGAGAATGCAGCGCCTACCGAACTTTTGCTCTCTTATCATAATGATACTGATCTTCAGTTGAATAGGATCTCGGACGCCAAGGCATGACGCGGGAACCAATACCTGTCACACTATTAATCGTCACCGTACCAGTCACTGGATATTCAGAGGTCGGTGAACCTATTGGAATCCAGAAGAATCATCCCAGCTTCTCTAAGCACAATGTGGCCGGACGGACTAGTAGGCGCGAACTAAAGCGGAACCAACATGCTGACAAGGAAGTCTGGTAGATCAGTCGAAGTGTATACGTTGAGGATGCAGTGACAGTAGGCAGTTTTCACAACCTCTTCCAGCTGATCCACACTACTGGTCCCAGGAATCCAGATGTCAGTAAAACAAACAGGGACAACGCCCGTGCCATCATTCACAATAAGTAACACCGCATGGCTGGTTGGGCTGAGCGCTTCCGACAGCACTTCAGTTTTCCCTTGCTTCTGGACCTCATACTGCTCAGGTGATGCAGGCTGAGCCGTGGTTAGTTAGTTTAGAGGCGCTGTCAGAGGCTGAGTTCCGAAACGAGGTCGCATCGCTTAATAATTTTCGTGCTGTTGGCCCAGATTCCCTCTCAACTGCGCCATTCAAAGGTGATGGTGAGGTCCTGTGAAAAGCATAGACCACTCTGTTCGAACAAGTCTGGAAGACAGAGGCCATCCCGGCTAACTGGAGTGAATCAAGTATAGTGACAATATACAAGAAGGGCAACCGCACAGACTGTGCTACTCACAGTGGTAACAAAAATACTGGCTTCAATTCTCGTTTGTCGGCTCACGACGGAGTGATAAACACGGATTAGAGAAGAGCAGGCAGGTTTTCGCCCAGAACGGAGCCGTTCCGTCTACATATACACACCGCGGTAGGTGCTAGAGCATTGCCTCGCCTACCGCAGGCTAACAATAGCTGCGTACCTGGACTTCGAGAATGCCTTCGACTCAGTCGAACGATGCATTCTGTTCAAAATACTTGTGTGGGAGTATGTTTCCACGAAATATGTGAACATTTTACGTGTTGTATAGTTGAACACAACAGGCCGCGTCAGGGTCTACGGTGATTTGTCGGATGTCTTTCCGATAACAAGTGGCGTTGGTCAAGCCTTTCTAACTTCCCCAATTTTGCTCTCTTCACCGTGGCGTGCATCATGGAGTGTTCCCCTGCGGAGTTTCATGACGCAGGCATTAAGGCACTGCCTGACGAAATGCATGTTGATCTTAATGATGCATACGACCTTTCTTGCTTTTTAACGATATTGGGGCGGCCCAATTAATTCTTAATAGCAACTCTAGTGTGATTCCATCATTTAGCATGCGCTTCGCACCTTCATAGTGTAAAGTGCTGATCCAGGATTACCAGCCCCCTGCTGACCCCTTAACCCTTGATAACGAGGAACTCAGGGCGGTTACTTACTTCACCTGCCTTGGTAGCTGCATCGGCAACGATAAGCGCATAGCAGCTGAAGTCTGTTCACGCGTTGCAAAAGCTAGAACTGCCTTTTTGAATCTGCGACACCTTTGGCGTGAGAAAAGGGTTCCTGTTCCCTAAAAAGCCGTGATTACCAAGCCACAGTGAGGGCCTGCCATTCCTATGGAAGCGAGAATAGGCTACTCTGATCTGAGGACCTGCGGCGTCTCAAGTCTTTGATTCTCATTGTCTGCGAAGCATTGCTGGCGTCGGATGGTATCAGCGTGTCCGCAACAATGAGGTGCGTAGGAGAGAACAATATGGTGAAAACGAAGCTAGTTTCTCGGAACAGCAGATAACACAATAAGTTCCGTTGGCTTGAGCATGTTCTACGCACGCCCGATCACCGCTATCCGAAGTAGGCCTTGTTTCGTCTGCAAAATGTAGGGGGGCACAAGGCCCGAGTTGAGCAGAAATTAACTTAGCAGCGGGCAATGAAGTCACTGACAACCCAAATCGGACTCATCGGCCCGTCTCACTTTCCAGGCTAGAGTCAACGTAAATCGCATTGCGCTTGGCCTGAGTGGCTCGCAGTGGGCACCAGTGGGACATCTGCTGCTGTCTCCTAGTCGGACTGCCTGTTTAAAGTGTGTTTGGTGCTGAGTTAGCCTTGAGTAATGGCTGCTTATAACGCTGGGCATTGAAAGCCGCTAGGAAGCTGTCTCGCCCATGCCGCTTTATCTTTGCACGGTAGCCAGCTGTTTGTGCTGGTGTGTTGTTGACAAGATGTAGGCGCTTTGACGCGAGTGTATGTTAAGGGCATTATGGTTTTACGCTGTCCCCTTCACTCCCTCAAATTGTTCTCCGTTTCGCAGGTCACCGTGGTTGTACTGCGGCGAAGCATCAGTTCAAGTGGTCGATGTACTGCTATTGATGATGAGGATGATGCTATATAGGTTACCTGAGGGCTCGAAAGTGAATTTTACTTTGACCCTGCAAGTTGAAGACCACATAACTTACAGGTGGGTCACCGTTTGGAGTCCTGAAATATTTAATCTTGCACAAAATGTGCACAAAGTTTTATTTTTCAGCCGAAAAGTGTAGGTAGTCGTTTGGAAAGCATTTGAACTTAAGACTAACAAATGTGCTTTTATTTGGCCGATTTTCTCTTCCAGGCGACTTTATGTGTATGACACACGTTTACTTCGGTGCTCGTAAATTAATAATGAATCAAGCAAGTAGCTCGAGACCTAGTTGATCGGTGACGCGAACATTCTCCCACTCGAATACGAGTGCACTGCTGTTGATGTTTTGCCCAACTATTCGATCAATCATTTTGCAGAGCAGTTGTGTCTTTGACTTGTTTCGGGCTGTCTGCGAAGCTCGAGTAAAGCAGTGGTACACCGAACGACAGAGGAAGTTTACGGATGCAAAAGTTTTCCCAACTCCATTAGATCCAGAGTGTTTATACAATAACTCTCCCTTTTTAAGTTGGTCTTTAAACCTGGGATCAGAGCTGTTTTCATTAAAACCACAGAAGTACTGTCAAGTTGTTGATGTAGGTACAACCAAAAATTAGCGCAGCTACGCAAGTACGGTTTCTGCTGTATGAAATTCATCTCACTAGAAGGCTGGCATGTTTGGCTGCCAAATAAGTTGGGCTGGTCAGTAATGCTATTGTAGTCCGGGCCGTCCGGAGAATGCTTCAACAAGCCTTTCCAATGAAGTGTGGTGGGTCTACTAATTTAAAGACTCGGCAAGTAGAGTTGTCTTACACCATTTGCTTACCCCAAACTGTTTCATTGCCTTGAATCACATGGCAGACCACAGACGCCTGACACTTATGAGTGATACAAGCAGCGACAAACAGAAATGAGTATGGCCATAGGCACTATACATGTTAAACGCCTCCGGAAGGTTGTTTTATTATGTCGAATGTGAAGCTGTCGTCGAACTTCTGTACATGTGACAAAACATCGGTTAAAATATTCCCGACACCATTGCATTCTCTCGCAAAACCAGCAACTTTGATGCAGCAAGAATAAAAGGATACGTTAGGGTAAGTGGTGACGCTAGGGACAGGACCCGCCTTGTTTTCTTTGGAATTGAGCGTATTACTATGGATTTAGTTGCATTACATAAGTGAAAGCGACGTGATCCCGGCAGATGACACCCATCGTCGTGGTCAAGTGCCCTAAACTGTTAAATAAGAAGACGAAAGCCACGGATTCTAGTTATTCACTCGGTAGAGAGAATGCTGACCGCTAATGGTACTTGAAAAAAAAAGAAATCAGCCCTGTGGAGATTTTTGACGTGCAGTGACGACCAAACCGAGTTAGGCAGTAGTACAGCTCCAATAAAAGTAGTTCATATTAGCCCACACTACTCGGCAATAAATAACGGTAGTTGGGAGAACTTACCCTCAATCTCCAGTAGCCCCTCAATAACAACCGGGTCAACTTCTGGTATAAAGATCCGACACTCATAGGCATACTTTCCACCTGAAGGCAGCCTTGTAAATGACAAAGTATCTGTTAACCGAGTGCCGTCATGTAAGAAATCAGGACCATGCATTATGGTCAGCATTGGGCGAAAACCAGTTGCATCCTTCGTCTCCGCCATACATTGGATTGGTCGCAGGTGCTCCACTGATATAAGTTCGGGGACAACTCGCAAAGCAATCGTCGCTGGAATGAGGGAGCAAAACCATTGTGCTAGGTGTGTCATTTATGAACTTGTCTTCAATACAGTCATAGGTTTGTATTAACACGGCTATTGCTGTTTGCATAAAGTGATATTTTGGCGCTTGTGACCTCGATGTTCGCATTGCTGGCTTAAGTTGCATGGTCGCTACTCAGAGTTTGCACTTCGGGTATAGACACTACAGCCGAAGTAATACAATGAACAATGAGTGGAAAATGAATTTATACGGGTTAAGAAGCGTTGCTTTACAAGTTTTGTTGGCTAGTTGGTGGGGATATCAATATAACAATAATGACGATAAGGATAGTGAAATAGTTAATACTTTAAATATGCAAATAAGGACTTGTCCTTTGCTTCGTTGTAGTCCGTTCGATCCTCGTAGATTCACAGCACCCACATGTATCAACAAATAATTCCATGTTATATTCCAGGTGTAGGATGGAGACGTAGTGTTAAGTAACAAAGTTTAGGTGGATGAGTGCATCTTCCAACCGTCATTTAAATACTGTTATTGTCGGTGCACAGATGACCGAGACTGGTAGAACATTCCAAGAGTGACAGACACAAATGGAAAAGAACGTTCTGCGGCATCCAGACGACTGTATTGTTCTTCGAGTTTTAATGAGTGGCCCCTCAGTTTTGTATTGCTGCTGTGGTGCTATAAAGGGCGGCACACATGATGTGGGTCTCGCAGAATCAAGTATGTCCTAATCAGGTCGCCTCGTAGTCTGCGATAGCTTCCACTGAACACCCCAAATCTTTGCAGCCTCTCCTGGTAGGAAAGATTGCGCATTGCAAGTACGTTCTTAGATGCCCGGCGTTGTGGCTGCTCCAGTGCATTAGGGTGTTTCAGCCATGGATGCCACGCTTGCATTGTGTATTCGACATGGGGGCGAACATACGCACTGAGCATTTATCGAAATATGGAGCTGTTTATTTGTCCAAACGCCCGTCACAACAGCCCGACGTGTTGGTTCCCGGTCTTCGAGGCCTCTTCGGATTGCCTGGAGCAATGCAATTCATCTTGAACCAGGACACCCAAGTCACGTTCGAGAGTGGATTGTGGTATTATATTCGTTCCGAGCCGGTATGAGTAGCTGCCTTGATGTCGGATGGAAAGCACCTTGCATTTACTGACGTTGAAATGCAATAAGTTTTGGGTCGACCATTGATACACCGTATCTAAGTCACTCTGAAGCACATGTTGGTCGGCGTTCGCCTGGATCCTGCGCCAGATCTTGATATCGTCGGCCAAACATTAGGAAGTTTGAAGCGATTCCCTGTGCAAGGTCATTAATAGACATCAAAAACAAACGTGGACCTAGAACTGAGTCTTGCGGCACACCACACTCGAATTGTATGGGGATCGATAAAGAAATCCTAACTCTGACCACTAATTGCCGTTGAAGTAAAAGGTTGGCAATCCAGCTTATAAGAGGGTCGCCGATCCCGTAGTGCTGCAGTTTGGATTGTAGTATCCGATGGTCTAGACGGTCGAAAGCCTTGAAAAAATCCAGGTAGATCACATCAACACCTTCTCCAGCTTCGGCTGCCTCGGTCCAACTACTGCGTGCAATTAGTAAATTCGTTGTACATGACCGCTGTCGACGGAAACCGTGCTGCTCAGGAGTGATGAGTTTTCAAGATAGCACACAAGGGCATTCGCAACTATGGATTTCATGACCTTAGAGAGTATAGAAAGGAGGGATACTGGGCGGTAGTTGGAGGGATCAGTTCTGCTTCCACCTTTGTGAATCGGGGTTATTATTCCAAGCTTCCACATGGCGGGAACTTGGTTCTGGTCTAAGCAGCGCTGAAAAAAACTGAGCTAAAGGTCCTGCCAGTTGGCTTGCCGCTGCTTCCAGTGACTCTGAACGAATGGTATCGACTCCCGGCGAGCTGTGTTTGCGTAGAGACCTCAGCTTTTGCAATACAGCCTCCGCGGTAAAACTGATGTGGGTTTGTCCTGGCAAGGAGAATACAAAGCTTGGTAGATAGCTTGGTGGCAAGACCCTTTGAAACGTGGGGGCGTATTGCATCGGCAGCGCGTTTGCTGTTTCCACAGCCCTTCTTGTTGGGCCGTCAGCCGTCCTGAGTGGAGGAAATCCTTGCCTCACCTTTCTGCCAAAGATGCCGCCCGACGCATCCGTTTTGTATTCCGGGTTTCGATGGTATCCCTTTAGACAGTTCAGCATCTCCGCCGTTGTATGCTGTCAACACACGTAGACAATATCAAGAAGAGCCCACTGGCTGCTCGGCACTCTACTTAGAAAGAAGTCAAAATAGCACCTATCTCAACAATAACCGAAGCTAATGGCTGATGGCTTCCTAGCGAGTTGGATAAAATGACCCATAGCTTGGGTTTGAGATAAGCATATATTTATTTGTTACGTTTTTTAAACTTTGTATCCTTTCATTCCTTGTCATGTATTTACTCTAGGTTTTCTTGTGTGCATTTAACAGGAAAGATACGTGTACCTTATTGGAGCGATTTATGCACATAACGACCACTTTTGAAACCAAATTTATCGGCCGTCCAGATGACATTTCTGACTAAAGAGTTATAGGGATTAACTATAGTGGAGACGGGTACCACATTGAAAATACACCAAGTGGAGCTCAGACCTTGAATAAGTCCTACTCAGTGATCAACTGAATAAACACAGTCACCACTCGTCCTCCACATGCTGGCCACTTTTAACTGGTCCAACGGACACCACCTGAACCAGGTGTAGCTCAACATGTCTAGTTTGGGGAACCCGCTTTTAGACGTTCATCTGTGGGTAACAACAAGTAGGTTTATCATTGATGTTCTGATACTTCATCCTAGAACACGAATTCTGAGTCATCAGTCTCGGTCAGGAAGCATGCATCCAAGTTATCATGCATATTTAAGGAGTTTTGGTTAAAGCATATGATGATCACATAAAAGTGAGAGGTGCAAACGTTGTCCGTAATAACCCGCAAGCATTTTGGTTTGGGAGAGATGATGTAAAGGCGATTATCTATACACTTCAGTGATTAAATTCCGGCGTGCAGCAAGCACTGCTGATTTGTTGTCTCAAATGTCTGAGAAACTGAACTGATGCAACTTTCATGGATGCATTCTCTCAGTTTTTCTGATGTCGCTAACTGAATCGGATTCGGCCATACAAATGATAAACCAATGAGTTTAAAGGAGTTGCGCGGGCACATCAGTTGTACTAAGTTTCACCATAGTTAAATAATTATCTTCAAATGTTACCACATGTGCAGTTCATTTCTCTCATAGTCAAATGGCCGCATAAGCATTTTGTTATTGACTGCCCTTGGATCTTACACCATATTAACAATCGGAAACTCTACCAGACACCAAGGTGTCAACAATTGTCGGCTCATTTGTAGATGTTCTGAATGTTAACCAATTAACTCAATGGTCATAAGTAATTTCTGTTATTTGGAATTCTTCTCAGCCCTTTATTACCCAATTACTACCACTAAGTTTCTCGTATTTATCAGTAGTAAGATTGGTACAGACGCCATTATTACTGCAATTATTGCCATTGTTGTTATTGTGGTATCATGAGTCAAGACAAGCGGATCCGCTTCATTCAACTGATCGAACATTGATTCGTAAGCAGAACGAACTTTCTTTCTTGTTCCACATTTTTCATTTTTTAGCGTAATGACATATCGCGAAAACTGCTTACACCGAAAGTTGTTACTTGATTAAAACTAAGCAGTCAAATAGTCGGTATATCTTATAAGCGTTGCTCCGATGAACCACGTGTGATGTTGCCGCAGCAAGTACGTTTCACCGAACGGACAAACCGACAATTCAACGCTTCTTTAAATGGACTGTAATTGTTTGTGTGACTGTTCCCAAACCGATGCCAGAATGGCTATTTCACATTGTGACATCTGTTGATTTTGGAGATATTTGGCTACTGGAAAGAATAAGCAACCATGAACAGTCGGAAATCATATGGTTCTTGACATTTAGCTAAAGAGAAAGCAATAACTTGTATCACCACGATTGCCGAAATGAAACTACTCATGTATATGTTTATGAAGGTGAACTCAAGGTTTACCAGTTACTTCGAGTTAGCCTTAAGGTCGGTCAAGGAATTCTCTTACCAGCGGGTCCGAAGGGCCTGTACTCATTTGTCTGCTGGGTCAGGAGATGTGTACCTGCAAGAAATTCAGTTGACAAATTCTACTTTTCAACAACACTTTGCCACAGCCGGTCTTTAAATCGGTCATTGCCTTTTCACTGGAACATCGCTCTTATTTTATCAACTGCTGAGTATTCCGTTTTCATTGAGATTATTGACATTTTCTGCCATTAGATTAGCTACCATGTCACTAATCCGATTTGTTTAAATGAACTGTGATATACTGCGCGTTTCGCGCGAAATTATCAGAAGGCGTTTTGTCAATTAAGAAACTATTGTCCGGATCGATAAACTGGTCTTTGACTATGTACCGACAGCAGGACGCAAATTCGAGATCGCTTATTTGGGTAACACGTGCACACCTAATGTCATTCTTTCCAGTTGTACAAATTTGCTGTTTTAATGAGCTTGGTTTAAACATTCGCGGTGGATATTGCTAAAAGGTTAAAATGAACTTACTCTGGTACGTAAAGCTTACAGTGAGTTGAGTTATTTCGCATTTTGAAACTTACGCCACACTTCTGCCGACAGATGCAACTGGATGTCATCGTACTTGCGTTCCATGTAACGCACAGACATGAAGCAGCCTATGATTACCACGGAAGTTGCGGACTTCCTATCTCCAACCCAACGAATAGAACTGCTGATGTGGTCGATCTTCCCGTGCGAAGACGTGATCAAACCGATGCGCATACTGTAGAACAAACCGTCATCCTGTTTCGGTTGACAGACAACTTGTGTGTTTATCCCGTGAATGCGTCGCATTGGTTGCATAATAACCGCAGGCTGCGAACCTGAGCACGGCACCAAATCGCATTTATGAAAAATTAGAAATGAATCTTCATGGAACAAAACTGAAGTTTCATTCTTTTCATAAAACATGATGTGTGTGTGTTTATTTGTGGAAGCAAAGACATAACGGCTATCTTTAGAATTTCTACTCATTGTCAACACGGTGAAGACAACTGTGTGTTAATCACAAACAACTAACGACCGCAGGATAAGTTTGTTTCGTCGATTTGCACCACCTCATACGCTGTAGTGTAGCGATAGTCATAAATTTATTGTTCTCATAATGCATTTAATTTCTTCACTGTATGTACTCAGCCATGCATCCTTTTAAAACAAGGTACTTATTGAACTCAGTTCTGCAAGACTCTCGAAATTCTAATGCGGCACATATAATCTCTGCTCTTCTAATTCGCCGAGGATCTTGCAATAGACCGGAGCAAAACTGGTGCCTTGCGTCCAAAAGTATTCATGGATCATCGTCAGATTTCCCTACACATAGTGGTACGGCTTCCGGAGTATTTCTTATTATTTGTTCTCATGTTTCTTTGCACTGTCTAAGCCAGGGATGTCCAATGTCCGACATTTCAAGTGGCCCAGGGCCTCATGATGAAATAGCAAATCCAAGCTTAGATTTTTCCGTATAGTTGATATTACATAGAGTAAACAAATTGAGGATGTTTTGAGTACAAAATTCAATTGCGTCAACTGCGGACAAAACTCAGTGTGGTAGTATTGTTTATTTTCAACCATCTGGGAAAGTCAACCGATTGCTTTTGCCAAGGAGGTAAAACATATAGAAGATGGGTTCGTTAACCTTTTTATAGATGACTAACTAAAGCTAGCCCGTTCTGATAAAAGGATTTGTGTTTCATAGGTTATCCCCATCTCCAAATTTTGTTGTGCTACAATTTACTTTAAGGTATTTTCTAAGGCCGAACAATTTTCTCTTTCTCATTAGTTAATTCCACAAAAAGCAAAACTTGTCTACTGTACTTTCATAACTCCTATGATAGAGAAGATATAATTAAAATAAAAAATAAATAGGGGTCCATTAACCGTTTTATATAACTTTCATTCCTATTCTGGAATGGAAAATGTGACTAAAAAGAGAATGGTAATGACGAACGGCGACGCTTCCAGGTAACTTAGAAAGGGTAGTAATTTTCGCTGAACGACTGAACAAGTGCATGTGCCTGATTTGTTTGGAAACTCTAGCTGTTTTCAAGCAATTTAAAATCAAGAGGCACTACCAAGTGAAGCATGCTATCACAAGTTGACTACAAATGAACGAGTTTTGGAAATTGACGCAAATGGAAGCTGAAAAAACCTCACCGCATAACTTGTTTGCAAGAATCGGTCAGTTGAATAAAAGTACGACAAACGCAAGCTATAAGATGGCAAAGCTAAAAGCGAAACACTGCGAACCATTTAATGTAGGTGAATTGGTCAAAATATGTATGATGAAATTATGGGGAGTATCTGTTCCGAGAAACTGCAAACGTTTGTCAATGTTTGCCTGGCAGGCAACGCTGTGGTTCCAAGAATTGAAGACATCTCCTCTGATATTAAGAGATAAGTAGAAGCAAAAGGAGCAACATTTGACTCTTTTCGATAGCCTGTGACGAAAGCACTGATGCACATGACACTGCTCAGCATCTCATGTTATTTTTGGAAAGAGATAACAATATAGTACTCATGAGTAGCAGGATTTTAGTTGTAAATTTGATAAGGCTTTCATCCCAACAGTTCACAAGCTACATAGCAGAGCCTAGTCCGGAAAAGCGCCAGACGCGTTTCACCCTATTGGGGCTCGTCAGTGGCGCGCATTCCCTTGACCTGCAGAGTCATGTCGACCAAACAAGTGGGATAAGTTCATTTGCTTCTGGATCTGCTGAAGACATTGACATTAAACTACAATGAAAAATGTTCTCTGGAATGATCACTGATGGTGCCTCAGTCATGAATGGAATGCACAGTGGATTAGCAACACTTGTCTGTAACAAAGTCAGCGAAGAACGGAGTAAAGCCGTTAAACTCCACTGCATCGTTCAGCAACAAGTTAGTTGTGCTAAACATCTTAGGTATGAAGCCAGTGAGAAAAATTATTAATTATCTTTGCTTCAAAGCCTTGCTTTATCGTCCGTTTCAGCTGTTTCTCTTCTTCATCCAGAGTGAATAGGAAAATGTCTGCCACAATGATGTAAGATGGCTCAGTCGGGGGATCGCACATCATCGCTTCTACTCCCTAAAAATAGAAAGTGGACATTTCATAGAAAGTAAGGGAACATTGGGGCCAGAACTCTCTGATACTGTTTGGCTGGCTAATTTTGGATATTGCTTGATATCACACCGCACTTGAACATGGTGAACACGAGCATTCAGGATCAAAATACAGTCGTAAGCTGATGGTATTCACCCATCAAAGCTTACAGAAACAAGCTGCAACTTTTTCAAGGACAACTGTCTTGAATGCAGCCTAAGACTACACATTTTCCGCCACTATAGGAAGTCATGACAGGCTTTCCAGAAAGTAAGATCAATGCACAAATATAGAAGTATGTCGCATATATTGCATCCCTGGTTGATAGGTTTCAAAGGCGCTCCCAGGAATTTGCTGCTATTGAAAAGATCGGGCTTTTTTCTTCGCGCTTCTCTGTGGACTCTAATACTGCTCCAGGCCACCTGCGTCTGGAGCTCATTGAGTTGCAAGATAATGTCGAATGTCGCACCAACAACTCTATTTCAGCAAATTTACTACCAGCTGGAAAAAGACAGATCCCAAACGATTCGAACATTTACTAAGAAAACGCTCAGCTTGTTTGGCTCGAAATACGTATGTGGACAGACATTCCCAATTTTGAATTCCAACAATAACTGTGTGAGGAAGGTACAAAGTGATCCTCACCTACGTGATATTTGCGTATCAAAGCTTGTAAGTTTGAGCCTGGCGTGACCAGTTTACTGCAAGTCAAATCGTATTTTCCTCCTCACATTAAAACTTGAAATTAGAAATTCATAACATCTCATTTTTATTTAGTATCTAAATGTCAGGCTGAATATGGTCCACCTTACAAAAAGTTCGGACGCTCCTGTCCCAAGCGTTGTGTGTAATTCCGAGGTACCCTTTTTCGGCACTGAAGAGACGGTACAAAATACATGCACCTACCAATATCCTTCTTTCCACTGCATTTTCAATGTGTTTAAGGAAACTATTGGTTTTAGTAACTCATTATTAAAACTGTAATGGGTCAGGCAGCTACTACCTATCAGGTGTAGCACTTAACATCGGCTTTGTTGGCCCGAAGGACACTAAGCGTTCCGCGGCGAATACTATTGGCGAATCGTTTTCAAGATGCGATAGTCCTCCTGGTTGACAAAAGAAGTAAGAAAAGTGTCTTTAAAATTGCATATTCGTTTTAAAATTGGAAGAAAGACCTTGATTTCTAAGCAAACGCTTCGATTTCAGAATCAACATGAAGGACGTTGGTGGTGGGTTAGTATCTGGTCTAGGTTGCATATGAGGCATGTACGGTCAAAGAATGCTCAACGTCGTGTGATGCCCTCCGAATATCAAAAACTGGGTTGCGATCAGAATTTATTTGGATCAGAAGGTAACTTATTATGCATTAGGTAACCAATGATCCGTTCTGCGACTCCGATTTGCTCTTCCTTGATTGGCTGCGTCTGGCGGAAACTCACCATTTGCATCGATTGAGTCAGTTGGTCAAGCGAGCTTACCAAGCGACACTCACGCCGGCAGGCTTCTGAACTATCGGCGGACAATCGATGGCGCGGCCTCATACCTGTTCATTCCGAGTGCGTGGGCGAATACCAACAGTTACCATTACCATGCTTACGCCACACTTGAGATTGTACTTTTGATGAGACTGTCAAGCACTTGTGCCAAATATTCAAAGAACAGTCATCCATTTTCAACAAGTGATATAAATGTCTGAAGACCACCAAGATGGACCCTAGCGACCACATCACTCTACCGTTGGCATCGTCAGTCGCAAGTGCGAAAATCTTGAATTAATATCCGACGCGGCTGATCAGTTCAAATGTCTGTTTTTTTATCTGTGGTCTACAGTTCCAACGGATGTAGTGACTCGCACCAGGCCACTGAACAAACATGAACATGACCCACAAATGACTCTCTAGACCATCACTACTGAATGTCGAAGAGTCTTAAACCTCAAGCATCACATGTTTATGTTTGAAAATCAACAGCCAACCCCCAGTCCTAATGTACTAAAGATCACTTCAACTGAACCGCTTCCAAGTGCGACTGGCCATGTAAGGCCCAGAGAGAATCATAGACCCCCGACTGCCTGTTGGAAAGTTGGAATGGCATTTTGTGCGGGTATGTCCATTCTTGAACCATGTTTGCCAGAGTGTCATAAACGAACCCACAAGGAAATACACTGCCGATCCTAACTGCTATTCAAATGTGATAGACACTCTCGACCGAATTCGAATGTTCACAAAAGATTCCTTTTGTATAGCACGGTTCAAGTGGGCTACTCCAGTGAATATGCAACTCGCACTAAGTTCAGCGGAGTCCACCTAAATGGGAATCAAGTACGCCTTCAGTTGGATACAGCCTCGGAAATCACAATTATCTCTCAGGATACGTGGCGGTATATCAGGGCTCCGTCCAGTAGCCCAAGGATACACGCTGCATTCAGTGCCTTTGGAGGTCAACTTAAGCACATGGATGAGCTACACTGTGAAATGCTTTTTGGCTTTGCCCGGCAAAAGCATCTTGTCCCCCAAGGAGCTGTCACACTTGAATCTGCTTTGAAATGAGTAAATGCAAAAGCTCCAGTTGTTCGACCTTTTCCTGAGTCAAGTTTGCAACCACATCCAGCGTGGACATACGAGTTCCGCTTCGGATGTGGATGAACCAAACAATAAGTTGATCATTCAGCTAGGAAGGAAATTTCCGTCTGTTTGAGAACGACTTTGCACGTTGCACAACAACTAAAGTAAGCCTTACCCA